GAGCACTAATGCTTGACAAAACTAGCCCCAGCAGTGAGGCTTTAGAAACAAGCTCCCACTGCTTTCCTTGGAAACGTTCTCTTTTGCCCAACAATGTGCACTTTTACATCCTTTTACATTCCTTAGGTACCTAAGATGTCATATTTTTGGAGTTTTGCATGCTATGAGTTTTTTTCTAGGTTTTGGAGAATGGCCAACTTGGTATGGTGGCAAATAACTTAACTCAGGACTTGGTTTTAGGACCTGTCTATATAGCTACTAAACTTTTTGCACCTCTTCCCCCCTAGTATAGAAGCAGGAGAAACATTCCTGTGCCCCCGTTTTCCTCTCTTGTTTGAATAGTGTCTTGAGTTCTGAGCTGGGGCTGAGGCTAGTTCTAGCCTGGAGGCTGGAAGCATGGTGGCTGATGTCTCTTCCTCCATATCAGAAGATCTTTGGAAAGCCAATGACCTTCTCAAAATAAGAACACAGAGAAAGCCTGTGCGATATCCTACCCTCTCCCCCCGCCCTCAGATTTCTAATAGGAGCTTCTAACATCCACTCGCTACCATCCACTTGTCTAACTAAAGCTACCACCCCAAAATGTCCCTAGAACTCAGCACAGGGTTTGTGTAGAGGTTGTAGATGTGTCCATCTTGTGGCCCACAGGACACATGTGCCCTAGGATAGCTATGAATGTGACCCAACACAAAATTGTAAAACATTGTGAGATTATCAAGATTTTATTTATTTATTTATTTATTTATTTATTTATTTATTTATTTATTTATTTATTTATTTATTTTTGTAACTCAATCGTGCCACTCTCAAGAGTGAACTTCGTAGACAACAATATCGTGTTGCAATGTCAAAGACTGGGCATGCCTGCTGTAGGAGAACTCAGACACAGAATCCACTGATGACTAGCATTTGCTGTGTTGGGGATATGGGAACCACACAGTCCACCCTAGCCCCACCCAGGCAGAGGCTCCAATGCAGCTGCCAGCTGAGTTCCAGGCCATGGAATGTGCTGACCTTCCTTCCTCGGGAAGATGGCACCATGAGGAATGTTATTATTAGCAGGACAGCATTTGTGCTGATCCGTCAACACTCCCTCATTCAGACCAGATCGGGCACATTCAGGATGGTACGGCCATAGACAATACCCCCTCTTTCAGGGTCTTTATGGGACAAAGACCAACCTGCGGTATCACACAGCTGACCCATCGCCGAAATCTCTTCTTTTGGCTATGGTCCCTCCGTACTGGCCCGGTTTGTTTCTTGGCTCTCTGGCCATTCTGTTTTCTTTACTTTTTTTTCTTCCCTCCATTGTTTTTATTTTGAAGCCAGGGTCTCACTATGTAGTCCAGGGTAGTCTCGAACTCACCATCCTCTTGCTCTAGGCTCCGTGGTGCTGGGATTTATAGATACGTATTCCATCCTCAGCTCTTCTGTCTTTAAATAGATGATTCCTCAAAGCTTAGTTCTAGAAAAAATCCCTTCCCCTTTCTTTCTTCTCATTTTTCTTTTTCCTGCTTTATTGATTCTCATATTTCCAATTACCACCTAGTTAGCAAAATCAATCTCAAGTTTGTTTTTTTGTTTTTTGTTTTTTCTTTTTTAGGCAAGGTCTCTGTGTAGCCCAGGTTGGCCTGGAACTCAGAGAGATCCTCCTGCCACTGGCTCTCACGTGCTGGGATCAAAGCTGTGCTACCACGCCTGGCCTTATTTCTACTTCGAGTCCATACTTGTCTTGTGAACTTTCAACCCTGTGTTCCCCTCCCTGATCCAGCCTGCCCTGCTCAGAACAGAGTGGATCCCCTTCTCCAGGGCTACCATACATTCTTCCTATGGTGTCCCTCATCTCAGTGGTTTCAAGGCACTGTGTCTGATTTCTTCATTCAGACGCCCCCTTTCCCACCTTCAGGGCACTCAGATGCGTCACTTCCTGTCACTTCCTCAGGTGTTGTTCTCTCAGGTTTCCACCTGAGCCTAGTCCTCCTGTCTCTCTTCTGCTGGCTGCATCAGCCTCAGAACCAATCCTGGCAAAAATTCTTGCATCTCCTCAGCCTTGCAGCAAATCCTTTCCAGGCCTTCTCTTCCCCCAACCCTCTTTCTTCCTGCTGATGTACATTTTCACTTGTGTATTCTTATTTTAAGAGGTCTTTTCTTCTGTTTGGAAGTAACTGTAGGTTTGTATGAAATGGCAGTGATCCCATGTGCCTTTCCCCCAGTGATGAGCATCTTAGATACCCACGCACAAGAGCAAAGCTATTGCGGTCCTAGACCCTTTGTGGGTTTTGTTGTGTCACAGGCTCGTGTGCACCTACATGTTTGTGAATGTTTGATGTGTGCCTCTGCGTAGTTCTATGTCACACCTGACCCATATGTAACCCCCAAGATCCAAAGCTGCATCTTCAGCCTCAAGATCCTCTATGCCTAAGAATGCTTCTTAAAAAAACACAATCATCCGGCCTCTGCTCTGCTTGAAAGCCTTCAATGACTTCACAGGCCCAAATGCTTAAATAAGGGCCATAAGTGCCTATTTAGTCTGGCTTCATTGTCTCCCGGGTGCCCTCTTGCCCCCTCATTTTACAAAGAAGCTACACTCGTGTTCATTGGCCTTTCTCTTTCTTCTAGTTTACAAAGCTCCTGGCTGCTCAGAGCCTGCACACGCAGCTCCCTTTACCTGGCATCCTCTCTCCTTCCCACCCAGTTAACTTTGATCTGCCCAGTAATGACTTATGCCTCTTCCCCTGGAGGGTTTCCTTGACCTCTCTGGCCAGGAGCTCCCATTGGTTTTCATCGCCGACTCTGCTTTTCTTTACGGTGTTAGTCACACCATAGTGATTAAACAGTTGTGCACAGGGATTTTGTAATTTGAGGTCTCTTTGGAGGGCTTAGGGTGTCTTGCTCACACCGTATCTTTTCTGTCTAGCGTAACAGCCAGCTTAGCAGCTGCTCACGAAACAGTTGTTGAGTTAATGAGCACTTCTTAGCATAAGCTGGGTCTTTACAGCTGGGGTATGACCCAAGGCCAGAGAACTGCACAAAACCACCTCGCCTAGGTGGGTGTATGTCCCACGATCTCAGCGCCATCCTTTCCAACAATGTCCTGTCAGAGAACCTGGGCACCTGTAGCCCATACCGCTGAGTCCACAGCTGACAATGTCCCTGCTATTCCCATTCTGTTTTCACTCTGAGAGGTCAGTGGAGGAAACAGCTTGGCTAGTATTCTCCTTAGATCCTACTTTGAGACATTTTCCAGAATACCAGCAGGATATCCGTGCAGGCTTTTAATTTCAGGTTTCTTTTTGGCCTCATCTCTTTCTCCTGTCTTCCCACCACTGGTTATTACTCCTACGCTAACACTCCCAGAAACCTCAGTGTGGTTTATATCTGGGGAGTCCAAAATCTGGTAGGTCCTTATGCTGACGTACTAGCGTAAGTATTGGTATTTCACCCAAACGAGCATGGTCCGTTGGGCTCTCTGAGGATTCCAAAGGGAAGCATGGGCTTCCTGCTGGGATGTGGCTCTGCTGGGGGCTAGGGACAGCACCCTTGGTAAGTGACACTAACTCTAATCGGTGCCCACCCCCGTTTATAGTATCCTTTAACGAACGAAATCCCTCACGTGGAAGGGGCAAATGCTCTGTGCAGTGGGAGCTCTGGAGAAGGATGGGGCCCTGGGCTGGGCCAAGCTGCTGATTCTTTACAGCAGAATCAGCAGTGGCCTTCGCCTGTCCAGGTCACAGCAGTAGGAAACCTGGGGACATCATCTAAGTTTCTCTTCCCTGACATCTAGAAGGCCAAGGTCTGTACCTTTTGTAGCTCCCAGCTGTCTATTCATTGATGGCATTGCTCTTTAGACTCAGTGGGGGCTGATGGAGTCCTGCTTGGCAGGTCAAGCCTCGGGCCTTCCTTCAGGGCTGTGTGATCTGTGGTCCCAGCTTACAGTCCCTCTCCTGACGGGGCTGTAGACTTAGCTAACACGGCAGACCTGGGAGGACAGACCTGGTCATTGGCTGGGATAGTCACTCCCGTGCCTTCCCTGCCAGACTCCTTTCTTCTTGCGTTTCTGTGACTATTCAGTTTGGGCTTTTGTTCATCTCTTGGCTGTGGGCCTGGAGATCCAAGGAACCACAAAATGCCACCTATTACCCCTAAGCACTGTCCCTGAAAACCTTATGTGATCCCTGACGCCCTCAGGCAGTGCGAATAGGAGGTCTGTGGGAGCCCGTTCTCGGGTTCCTCGTGGCTTTACCCAGCAGGTCCGCATAGAGGATGATCAGGACCACGGATGATCAGGACCACGGGCCTGAGTGCAGGTGTCTGAGATGGTCTGCACTTGGCTGTGCTGGGGGAGGAGGTCTTTTGCTCCACCCCTTGGTGTCTCTATAAAAACCCTGGGCCAGAGCTAGTCGGGGCCCGTTGGAATAGGTTCCAGGCCCTCTCGAGGCTATCCTTTATTTTCTATCTGTTTATCTCCGCAAGATTCTCCACTATAAATCCTTCTATCTAATATTTCCTGCTGATTGCACTCAAGAAAACTCTGGGGAACTGTGGGGGTGGTGGGTAAACGCCCCACAGAGGTCCCAGCTCCAAGTAGCTTTGATAAGTTGTCCTGCCCCAGCTGCATCTAGAGCTTGGGAGGTGATGCCAATGCCTCCCACCAGGTTGCCATGAACTGTGTGCTCCACATCACCCCTTATAGTGCTCTCTGATCACAGCTTTCTATTCTACTTGTCACACCAATGGGACACACGGTTCTCGGGGGAAGAGGAACTGGATGGGACTTAGTAAGAAGGTGCATGCCCATCTCTCCATTTGGCCTCTATCTGGCGTGACTGGAGGTGGCAAGCACTGTGAATAGAGCCCCATTCAGACTCCCAGTCTGTTTCCCAGCCAGTGCCACACCGGCCTTCCTCCATACTCCTGCCAAGATGTGTCTGGACTTGGTGGTGTTAGGGGTACAGGTCACGCTCTTTTGTCCTAATACCATTGCTTCTGGCTTCTTTCAGGTCACCCAACTTGTCTGCAGTTCACTCTGAATATGACTGAGGCGGTCAAGACCTACAAGTGGCAGTGTATAGAATGCAAGTCCTGCATCCTGTGTGGGACCTCGGAGAACGACGTGAGTTTGGGTTATCCCTGTGTCAAGAAGAGGCAGAGGGGCTGGGAGCCCTCTGAGAGGTGGAAAGGAGACAGAGGTCCGGGCACCAGGTTCTGGGGAAAATGTCAATCTTTTTTAAGCCTCTACAGCCCTTGAAACCCTTGTACTTTTTGCCTTGGGGTCCTTGTGCCTTTAGGGAAAGATGCCAGAGGTGGCCAGCAGAGGATGTCTTTTTGGCCATTACCCTCAGCAGCCTGGCCACTCGCTCTCCAGAATTTAGTGACTGGTGACCAGTGCTTCGAGTGGGATGCACTTGGCTATTTTTCACCACATTCTAGTGCTTGATCTCACCTGGATGACAAAGTAAATGCAAGAAATGCAGGATACTTAACTTTTTTTTTTGTTGTTACGGACAATTTCAAACACATTCAAAGGTCGAGAGAATAAGGAAGCTGATGTACTCTATCCCAGCTTCAACAATGGCCACCGTGTCCAGTCTTTTTTCATAAGTACTAATATCTTATCCTTTATGCGTGGGCTGTGTGTACCTGTTTATGTAGGTGTGTATACACGTGCTTGTACGTGTGGAGTCCAGAGGTCTATATCAACTGTCTTCCTCCATCACTCCCCATCTTGATTTTTGAGACTGTTAGCTCACTGATCCAAAGACTCATCAATTTGGCTAGCCTAGATGGCCAACGAGTTCCAGGGATTCTTCTTATCTCCATACACTGCTTCCTCTACCCAAAGCTGTGGTGTCAAGTGTGCGCCTAGATTTTACGCAGGTGTCGGGGTCCTGGAATCAGGTCCTCGCGAGTGTGCAGCAGGCATTTTATCAACTGAGCCATCTCCCTGGCCCCTACTTTTCAATCCTAGTCACCATATAACTTCACGGGTAAATATTTCATCTGCACCTATAAAAAGACAAATAGCTACTTTTTAACGGACAATAACTAAAATTTTACTATAGCCTCAAATCAATACTATTTAATATAATTAAATGTCCAATAAATATTTCATCTCAGTCAGTTGTCTCTTAAATGTATTTGCTGCAATTGAGATCCAAATGAGGCCTGAGCATTACAGCCGGCTGATGTATCTTGAAGTTTCTTTCAATGTCTGCATTCTACAAATAATACATAGATGTCCCCTCCACCTTACAAATCAGTTGTTCAATGGAGTTCCCAGGATTTCCTTTTTCTGGACGCATTCTTGTGGGGTTATCAGTACACACTTTTGACCGAGTCTGTTTGTAAGATGAATCTTAAAAGGTCTTATTAATAAAAACCCAGAGTCAGAAATTGGAATAAAAAGCGGAGGAAGCAGAAAGAAGCCAGCCACGTTCTTACCCACTGGAGATCCTCCGTCAAAGAGACCTACTTCCTGTATACCCACATCTATATGCCTTTCTGTTCCGCCATCTCATTTCCTCTCCACCCAGCTACATCACTTCCTCTTCCTGCCCAGTTCTGTCACTTTCTGTCTGTACAGACCTCCAGATCCTTATGGTTAGTGCTAGGATTTAAGGCGTGTGCCCTCCCACACCTGACTCTGTTCCCAGTGTGGCCTTGAACTCACAGAGATCCAGACAGATCCCTGCCTCCCAAGTGATAGGGTTAAAGGTGTGTGCTACCATTGCCTGACTTCTATGTTTAATACCGTGGATGGCTTTTTCCTTTGATCCTCAGATAAACTTTATTGGGGGACACAGATAAAATATCACCACATCTGTTGTCCTTGGTGTCTCTCTTTTTGTGATGGTACCTCTACGTGGCATTCAGTGAGACCATTTCATTACAGGCTGCAAACTAGTCACTTTCTTACTTGATAGGTTCTTCTTTTATTATCTGGAGTACTTCCATAGTAAGAAACTTACCCATGCTACCCTTTGGTACCATATATAAAAGGCAGCATATGTGGTTGCTTTTTTCCTTTATCAGTTTTTAAAAAAATGTGATCATTAGGCTGTCTATTTATGGGACTTGAGAGATTGGTTCCATGGTTAAGAGCTTGTACTGCTATTGCAGAAGACTTGAGTTCGGTTCCCAGCACCCATGTCAGGTGGCTTACAATGGCCTACAAGTCCAGCTCCATGGTAATGCTCTCTTCTGGCCTATGGGCCACCTCCATTGACAAATACATACCTGGTCCCAGACGCACATACATATGTATAATTAAAATAAAATGAATCTTAACAAAAACATCATCTATTCATAAAAATAAAAAAACACTCAAGAAAACATGAACTACAAAATTGCTTCTAAACACAAGAAAATATATTTTCTGATTGAGCCCATATCATGTTTAATGAGAAAATACTTGATATATTTCTATCAACATTACAAACTTGGCGTAAGAAGGATGCTCTCAATGCTGCCAGCATCCGATAGTTTTGTAGAGATATTAGTTAGCACCACTTGACAAGAGACATAGATTAGAGGCACAAGGACAGATGACAGTACCAGTTGAGCATTGCTGATCCACAGGGAGCTCAGAAGCCAGGGCTTTATGATTACCAACATGATGCCACAGGTGGAAAATTCTGTTGCTCAAAACTTTATTTCAAGCATAAAATCATTTAAAATATTGCATAAGATCACCTTTAAGATATGTGTGTAAAGCATATATGAAACACATGGATTTTTTCCCTTTCTTCTTGGATTTCAACTCAAAGATGCCTCCTTCAATACACACAAATTGGAAGCACTTCTGAGTTCAATCACTTCAAATACAGGATATTTAGCCTTGCCTATATTAAGACACTATTTTCATGTGTGGTGGCAGTATGTCTGGGAAACTATAGAATCAACGATAGAGCTAACTTGAATATACAAAGTGAAAGCTAGGAACAGGAGAAACGGCTCAGTGGTTAAGAGTATAAACTGCTCTTGCAGAGGACCTGAGTTCTGGTTTGAGCATCTCTACCATGTGGCTCACCACTGCCTGTGACTTCAGCTCCAAAGGATCAGACACCTCTGGCCTCTGCCAATAGCTGCACTCACGTATACATACCCACACGTAGACAGACAGACAGATACACAATTAAAAATGAATCTTGCAAAAGTAAAAACTAATGAATTAGTAAACATTGCTATATTTACAGTGCAACAAGAAGCCATATTTAGGAATGTGCAGAGTCTATATGAACAAAAAAATTTAATGTGTTTGAAAACATAAAGGTCTGGTGGAACAGTGTCCTATGACATGGGATAAAAAGACTCAGCTCTACAGAGACACCAGTTTTGCCCATGTTGATTTGCAAATGGACACCAGGAGCAGTACCAACAAGCCTCCTTTGTGGAGTTAGACAGGCCGATGCTTATGTCCCTGCGGAAGAAGAAGTGGGTTTGGATAGCAGAGGAAGGGCTGAGGTTGTATCTCTGTTGTAGAGTGCTTTCTAGCTTGCCTGAAGTCCTGGGTTCAATCCTCAGCACAGTAGAACTAGGCAGAGTAGTGCATGCCTGTGATCCTTGGGGAGGGGGGTAGAAGCAGGAGGATCAGAAGTTCAAGATCATCCTTGCCTATGTAGTGAGTTTTGGGCCAGCCTGGGCTACATAAAATCTGGGCTCAGAAAAGAAAATGGGCAAGGAAATTCTGATAAACTGTGCTGGAAACAGACATTAAATCTTTTGGGGAGTCCCCAGAGTGGAATGGTATGGTAGTGATATGTAAGTGGACAAATAAACCAGTTGGAAGAGAAAAGAAAGCCTATGAATAGACCCACCTACATAGGGGAATATAGTATAGGATAAAGGTTGCATCTAAAATTACTGTGTCAAATATAGACTTTTTAATGAATGATGCCAGGACAATAGGGGAGCCGTTTGGGAGAAGACAAAATTAGCTTCATACCTCACACTCAGACATAAGAACAATCTCCAAATAGACTGGGAATTTAAATGTGAAAACTAAGACCGGACCAGCACCAGATTCCTCTTTCATTTCAAACACTAGGAAAGGTTTTCCAGTTGCCTCAAAATAGAGAAACAATAAAGTGAAATATTGGAAAATTAGAATCTGAAAATTTGCATAGTCAAAAGCCACGATCCAGTGAAAGGATGACTGACAGGGGGGAAGGTGTCTGTAGTCGATGCAGGAGAAGGGCCAATGGCCCCAGGATATAAAGAGCTCTGATGAATGAGAGACAGAGAACCAGGAACTTGATAAACAAGAAGAAACATGCATGAAAGGTGATTCATAAACAATATAAAAATGATCCTTAAACATTGAAATAAACACTCAAACACCCTCACAATTAAAGAAACTCAAAGCCAAACCAAGACCCCATTTCTCATCTATCTGATGGGCAAAATTTTTTCAAGTATAACAACATATGTAACTATAAGGAAACTGGTTCCTACATCTAGTGTTAAAGAGAGTGCAAAGTGACATGATCCTTCTGGGGTGGGGGATTTGGTGATCTCTAACAAAACTACTGCACACTTCACTTTTGACTGAGCCATCCCATCTGTGGGAGTCTACCTTGAAGGATACACCCCACTACAGAAATAGATGTCTGGTAGGTGGTTTATTAATTAAAAATAATATCAGAAATAACCTCAATGTACATGCACAGAAAAATGATAGAATAGATATTGGTGAAGCTGTGCCATGAAGCTATATAAAGAATGAGGAGGGCCGGCGGTGGTGGTGCACGCCTTTAATCCCAGCACTTGGGAAGCAGAGGCAGGCAAATCTTTGTGAGTTCAAGGCCAGCCTGGTCTACAGAGAGAGATCCAGGAAAAGCGCAAAGCTCCACAGAGAAACCCTGTCTCGAAAAACCAAAAAAAAAAAAAAAAAAAAAAAAAAGAGGAGGATGTCTGTGCATGGATGTGTAATGATTTCCACGATGAGTGGACGAAACAGAGTTCAATGTAATGTCTTATTGATGGTAGGCTGTGTTCATTGGAAGGAAAAGGCTACATAAGGAAATGCATATACATCTGTGCACTTGTGTAAAAGAATAAACAAGGAGGTAACGGGAGTGATTATCTTCAGGAGTGGATGGAAATGGGGAGGAG